GGGATTGCCATCGCAGAAGGTACCAAAGCTTTTTCGTCTGGGGCCTGTTGACGTCCCTCAGCCCGGGACAGCTGCTTTGCTCGCCTCCCCGTGCATCTTCGCTCTCGCCGGCAGATGCGCTCGGTCTTTTCTCGCTGCACGCCTCTTCTCCCACCCCAACTGCCAGCCCTTTCGGGGGGCCAGCAAGACAGCAGTCTGGAGGGGACCCCTACCAGCCCCCAGGTTTTGTCAAGTGAACAGCAAGATTTGGCTCTTCCACGAGGGCTGGGCAGGGGCTTGGTTCCCTCCTGGCTTCAGAGTTACTGGGATGTGCTTCTTGCGACTGGTCAAGAGGACTGGAGCTGCGGGCACTGGAGTCGCTGCAGCGGGCAGCAGGGCAGCAGGCTGTGCCAGCCTGAGCACTGCTGTGCTGTGGGGCTGTGGAAGCGCTCGGTGGCTGAGTACCTCTGCAACGCCTGTCCCCGCAGAGGGGCTGTGCAACACCATCCTCTGCCAGCCACATGCTTGCTGTCCCTTTGTGCTGGCTGCCACTGGGGCTGGTGATGTTGAGCTGCTGGGGATGGGGCTCTCCTGCAAGCACGATGATGCCATGTCCCCAGTTTGCTCCCACTCAACCTCCCTTGCTCCCAGCCCCCAGGGCGGCTGTGAGTCAGGCCCCAGCCCCAGCCAGCGGGTGCTGGGTGGCTGTTTCTGCAGAAGTGACCTGAAAGGCAACGATGGGTGGAGGGAAGGAAAGCCTAGCCTCACCCAGCCTGGTCCCAGGGGTGCTGTGGGTGCTGCAGGCTCTGGTCCTCCCACCTCTCCAGAGCCAGGGCTCACTGTTGTCTCTCGGCACAGAGCTTGATGGCGGGATCTTGTGAGATCAGCAACATCTTCTCTAACTACATCAGTGCCATGTACCAGCCAGACGAGGTGCAGCCGACCCTGGACATGCTGGGACACCTTGGGGATGACAGCACCGTGGGGCTGAGCCTCCCCACCAGCCAGCCCCCGGCACAGAGCACAGGTAGGATCAGGGGAGCAGTGGTGGCTGCACAGGGGAGTTCAGCACACAAGGCAGTGCAGCTGGCTTGGAAGAACATTGCAAGGTCCTGGTCCCAGTGGGGACAACATCTTCCACCATGCCTCAGTTTCCCCAGGGGTTTGTTAGCTAAAAGGTTGCTGGAGGAGACCCTGGGTGGCACAAGGCTTGCCTGCTTGGAGCATATCAATCAGATGCATATGGGGCATGAGAGACTCATTACCCTCATCCCCCAGTTCATCGTAGGGGATGGGCTGCCCAGGGCTCACCAGGAGCACAGTTTGGAAGTACAGTCCTGGTGACTGGGATCCCACTCCACCAGTGGGACCATCATGGGATGGCCCTGGGAGAGGCACAGGGAACACATCAGCAGAGCATGGTGGTCCCAGCACAGCTGGGGTAAATGGCACTGAAACCAACAGTGCGGGGAGCATCAGGTTATTGCTGTGCCCCAGGACAGGAGCAGGGCAGAGTGAGGCCAGTGACCTGCGAGGAGGTGCTAAGCCCCCGTTAGTCCCTTAACCCTTCAAGTTCAGGGCCTGCTGTGCCCCATGTGATTGCCACTGGACCTGACCCAGTGCCCAACTGCAGCTGGCAGCCTGGAGGCAGCTGGCACGGCTGCCCTGCCCCTGAGCCCTACTCTCCGTCCGTTGCAGACAAGCCGGAGTGGTTCAGTGAGCTCCCGTACTTCTGGACCAAGGTGCAGGTGCTGGAGTGGATCAGTTACCACGTGGAGAAGAACAAGTATGATGCCAGCTCCATCGACTTCTCCTGCTGCAACATGGATGGGCATGCGCTCTGCCACTGCACCAGGGACCAGATGCGCCTCATCTTTGGGCCCCTGGGGGACGAGCTCTACGACCGCCTGCATGAGATCAGTGAGTGTCCCAATGTCCCCTTCGTCCCCAGGCATGACAGCTCGAACCATGAGGCTCAGACCCCCTGCCACCAGCTCAGGACCCCCTGCTTCCCGAGCACTGTAGAGGGCTGCCTGGAGGAGGTTGCACTAGGGAGGGTGTGCAGGTGGACATGGGAGCACAGACCAGAGCCCATGCGGGGCTCGGCTCAGCTCCCAGTATGCACCATTCCCCTCCATACCAAACAGGCATCGCTAATCCCAGTCCCCTGACCCCTGCAGCCTCCGATGAGCTGAACTGGATCATTGACTTGCTGGAAAAAGAGGATGCGACTTCCCAAGAGACCTTCCTGGACTCCAGCCACTTGGGTAAGAGAGGGGCCTTGGCCAAGCCTTTCCACCAGGGACCATGTGCTGGTGCAGGCAGGGCAAACCCCTTCTTCCCTTCTCTGCCCCTTCCAGAATTGGGAAATCCCTATGCCAAGGACTCCCTGGAGGACATGACGCCCACAAACCCTTTCCTATCCACAGAGTTCACCTGTTTGCCTAGTGCCATGTCCCCAGGCAGCTCCGACGTCTCAGGTCAGTGTTTTGCCTGGTGAAAGGTCCCCTTGCTTGCGCTGACCTGGGAGATCAGTAGGGAACTGCCCCACTGCCAAGGGCAAGTTTGGGTCTTGCACCAGGCTTCCTGCAGGGGCCTGGAGGTTGGGAGAAGCCAGGGGGAAGCATCTCCAGATGCCAGCAGCTCAGCCATAGCTGAGCCCTATCTCTTTGCCTCTCAGGACCTGTGATGTCCCACAGCCCTAACTCCCAGGACTCCGGTGGAAGTGACCTTGACCTCGACCCCACAGAAGCAAAGCTCTTCCCTGACGGTGAGTTGCTTGCTTCCCCCCAGGAGGTGGGAGAGGGCTTGTTCCCAGGCACTTCCAGCAGCTGCAGAGCTCATCCTATTTGGCAGTGATTTAGGGACATCTGAACATCCATCCCCACACTGGGAAGGAGGTGGGGGCTGGTTTTCTGTGCATCCTGAGTCTGTTTCTCTCCATTGAGCATGGTGATGGTGCAGGCTCTGGGGCAGAGCCAAGGCAACAGTGAGCTTGGTGGGAAGGGGTAGGTAGTGGCATCTGGTTGAAGGCTGCAGCCAGAGATCCTGGGCACTGAAAACTGCGTTCAGTATTGATCAGGAGATGCAAGGAAGCAGCAAGGTTTGGGGAACAAACAGCATGCTGCCCTAAGCATGGTGGCATGGATGAGGGTGGGACAAGGATGGAGGGAATGGGGAGATTTTGCTTTCAAGGGGATGGTTCCCTGGTACTTGGGCCTGAAAAGAAGGTGCAGCCCCAGATCTCTCCCCCTGCCCCCAATCAGCTGTCCCCTGTGCTTCTGCTCCTGAAGAGGACACCTCTGTGCTCAGGGAGGGGGTAGCTGCAACCCAGCAGGCTCTGCACAGCATAACGTGTCCTCTCGTCTGTGTGCACGGATGGCTTTGCAGGGAGCAAGAAAGGGGACAGCAAACACGGCAAGCGGAAACGGGGACGGCCTCGAAAACTTAGCAAGGAGAGCAGAGACTGCCTGGAGAGCCGGAAGAGCAAGCACTGTATGTGGACCCTCCAGTCCAGGAGTGGGGGCTGCCTCCCCCAGCTTGGGCCCATAGCGGGGAGATGGGAGGAAGGGCCATGTCTGCTGGCCATGGCCCTTGGCAGGGGGGTGTAGGGAGATTCAAAGTGCAGGGACCTGCAGGATCTTCCCTCCCCTACAGCTTGCTTTCCTCTTCCAGCCCCAAGAGGCACCCACTTGTGGGAGTTCATCCGGGACATCCTAATCCACCCTGAGCTGAATGAGGGGCTGATGAAGTGGGAGGACCGGCGGGAGGGCGTCTTCAAGTTCCTGCGCTCGGAGGCGGTGGCTCAGCTCTGGGGCCAGAAGAAGAAAAACAGCAGCATGACCTATGAGAAGCTGAGCCGAGCCATGCGGTGAGTGCCCTACCCTGTCCCTGGAGGGGACCTGCCCCACAGGACTTGGTCAAACCCACCAGGGCTCAGCCTTGATCCTCTATACCAGCTCCCCAGCATGCAGGGCTGCATCCAGAGCCCTGATTCCACGTCTGTCTCCTCCAGATATTACTACAAACGAGAGATCCTAGAGAGAGTTGATGGGCGACGGCTGGTGTACAAGTTTGGGAAGAACTCCAGTGGCTGGAAGGAAGAGGAGGTGCTCAACAGGAACAAGGAGCTGTAGGAGTCCTGGATGAGCCGGGGTCTGACAAGCCCCAAGGGGCCAGCCCCGAGCAGGGCTCCTTGGCAGGAAATGTTGCCTGCAGCTGTATCTGGAAGCTGCTGCCCTGTGCAGCGTGTGAAACTCCGACCCTTGCATGGGCATCCTCATGCGTGCTAATGACTGCCAGCACTGAGGTGTTTAAAGCTAATATTTTGGCTCCAGTAGGTTATTCTAAACCGTTATTTTGCTCGATGGATTTGTACCTCTGACTGGAGTCGCAGTGACTTTGGCTGTTTCAAAGCCTGGACAGATGGAAAGGGGAAGAGAAATTCGAGTTGGCAGCTGGCACTGCAGTGAGAGCCCAGCAGGTCTCCTGCTTTCACCCACCTCTTGCCCGTGCAGAGAGGCAGCACCACCATCTCACTTGTGATCAGACAGACCTTGTTCGAACTATGGGGTCCTCCCTCATCATTGCTCGTGCTGTGCTGAAGGAACACTGTCCTGTTCGCTCCATGTGGGATGGGTGAGGTCCCCCTGTGTAGCAGCTTCTCTGTGTGGCACCTGCTGAGAGAAGATGGGAACATTGTGGAGCTTCACCTGGCCCTGGAGAGCCCTCAGCAGGGAGAGGACTTGGGACAGCAGGGCCACTCTGCATTTCCAGCCCAGCTGCCTGTATCTAGAAACAGGCCATTTCCCCAAAAGTAGCTTCTAATTTATGTAAGACCCCACAAAAGCACAGAATGAATGTACAGATATATTTTTTCATGCGTAAGAGGTTCCCATGTGAAAGTGTGCATTGTAGGGCACACACGTGTCTTGTGGCAGGTGGTGATGCTCAGCTGGACTGAAGCAATGTCACAGGGGCACAGACTGGCTCTGTGTCAGCCACAGGAGGGGGATGCCAGGCACCTAGCAGGTGCATGTGGTTTCCTCCTTTTCAAATGGGAACAGAAGAGAAATAAATTGTCGTTTTGTTGGGTTTTTTATACCTCACTGTCACTTGGCTTGTTTTTCTTAAAGACATGGTTGGGACCAGACTCATGTTAGCTAGGATGTCCCATTGCATGAACCCTGTCTGCCACCATCCCTCCTGCCAGCTGTGGCTTGGACTTGCCTGGTCATCCTGGCACAGGGGTACAGGGTCTTCCTTAGGGTGAGGTGCGCTGCTTGTCCCTAGGCTGGTGGGAGTGAGATATGGAGGCCTTGTCTCAAAGCCAGCCATGCAGGGGCATCTTACACCTGCTCCCAAATCTTGGCCTATCTGAGGACCCTCCAGAAATTCAGCCCTGGCAACTCACCTTTGCAGGAGGGCTTTCCCAGAGCACTGGCTCCAAACCAGAGTTTGCCAGTCACAGGCTGCTGAGAAGCAAATTCCTGGGTTGTCTGGTGGGGATGGTCTCTCTCAGCTCCCTCCATATTAAGATGCCCAGCCTGGATGGAGTCATGGGTTATAGGAGGACCTCCAGCCCTTCTCTGGCCAGTGCACTCTTCTGAGACATGAAGGGATATCAAGAAGTACTGGCACTGCAATACATTTAAGTCTTGCTCATCCTCCAGTCTGGTTATTTGGGAGCCTCTCCTAGGACCTGGGTGACTCTCAAGGATCACATCTGCAGAAGGGGGCACTGCTAAGGCCTGGCAGTGTGGACAGCCCAAACACACAGTCTGCCCCTTCTTGCTCAATGGCAACACCAGTCTTCCTCAGCTAGCCCAGCCATGAGGAGGCAGGGAGGGTGCCCCAGAGGTGCTGGGAGGATCTCTCTGACCCACAGGATATGTTTGTGGGATAGCAAGAAGGAATTCATGAGGCATGGGAAACATTCAGATATGTTTCTTCCATGAGCTTGGCAAATGGTGGTCCATGCATCGCTCCTGGTTGGTGTGCATTGCCTGCATTTCATGATGAGTCTTTCTGAATACCGCTGGGCACCAGAGGGTCTCGTCATCATCCTAACCTCTTGCTAGTGTACAGGACCCTGCTGAATGTGGGCATGCAGGGAATAGCACTGCTCCGCTCCTCTTCACCCTCAAGGAGAAAGGCCCTGGGACCCCTCCTCTGAGCTTGGAGATTGACCAGGTCTGGGATGCCCAGGCAAAAACAAGGCCATATCCTTCTGAATCGTTTCAGCCAGTGCCTGGAGGGGAGCCAGCCCACCAGTGTGGGCGTTGAGGGGAGTTTTTGGGATGCCCCTAAGCAGTAAGGGTGCTTTGCAAAGCCTTAGATGTCTTCTTGGCACTTGGCAGTAGGACCCAGCC